CTGTCGGAGCCCAGGGGCCCCCTGCACCCCTCGCATCTGGAGGCCCTGATGGCAGTTTCTGCAGCCAGAAGAAAATGTGTCTTTGGGGGACAGTGGGCTGGAGCAGGGGGTGGGGCTAGAGTAAACCACACACCCTGCCCAGGCCCCTCGAGGGCTACAGAGTGGCTCCTTGGCCCCTGGAATGACCTCCTTTCCCGGGAGGAAAGGTAACTCCCAGTATTGACTTTCTTTGCCCAGAGACATGTAGCCGGGGGTTGTTTGGGGCAGGGAGGGAGCTGGGACGGTGAAGGGGCGAGGCCTTGCATCCTTCAAACTTTGTGACCTTGAGTAAGTTGAGCAACGTCTCTGGGCCTCCGTTGTCCCATCTGTCAAATGGGGCCGTCCAGAAAGGGAGAAGAGAACAAACCAGCCTAAGCTGGAGGTGGGGTTTCCTTCCTAATCGATTTCATAGTCAGTGGTGGTCTCTGGCTGATGAGCTGTGAGTAATCTAAGTGGACTGAATGTATATAAATGTTAGACGGTGATAGTAATAAATAGGTAACATTTATTTCACATTTACTAAGTAGCAGGCACTGTGTTAGGCACTTGATGTATATTTACTTACTATAATTCTCAGGACAAGCCTGTGAGGTAAATATTTTTATCCTTCCTACAGATGGGGAAACTGAGGCCCAGACAAATGAAGCAGGTTTCACACTCCAACCTTGGCACCTGGCTCCAGCTTGCCCTCCTTCTGTTTCTTCCTCTGTTTTTCCAAATGTCTGGGTTGAGTTCTATCTCCATCTCCTCTGCCTGGGGTCCCATTCAGGGCAGGGGGGTGTGTACTGGAGTCTGGACAGACAAGGCACCTGTGCAGTGGGTGGGACTGTGCCCTGAGGCGGGGCAGGGCTATGGGGGGAGGACGCCTGGTAGAAGGAAGCTGTGGGCTCTGCACAGGCTGGAACCAGGAATCCAAAGCTCAGAGGTGGGATGGTTGCTGGCACCACAGCCAGTGGAGCTCCTGTTTCCTGCCACCCGCCTGCCGGCCTCCCCGGGCCCCTGCCAAAGGCATGGTCCACACAGCTGCCCCAAGCCCGGGGTCAGTGAGGGCTGCCGACCCACGCATGAACGGGTCAGCTGCTTCTCCCACCCCTGGACACTCTGTGGCTCAAGCATTTGTCATTGTTGGCTCTAAGGAAACATGTGATTTCAGTCTCTGAGTCCTCCCCAGTCTGTCACACACAGACGCATGCTTTTGTAACGCTGCCTGGCCATTTCAGGAGTGAGAGTGGAGAAAGTCATTCTGGGCTGAGTGGCCATCTTCTCTGTTCATTCAATAATGTTTCCTGAGCACCTACTATGTGCTGGGCACGGCTGGCTGCTAGGCATCTATGGGGCAGAGGCAGTAAACACATCCTCCTAGAACCTGTGACCGAGGACCTGCCTCCTCCCAGCATCCTTCCAACACCCACTTCATTGGGTCACTTCTATTCCTCAGCTCTGTGTGGGGAGGGAACCCAGGCAGCCTCTGCTGGGGAGTTTCATCCCAGCTCAGCCACTTGCTAGCTGTGCTGCCTTGATGGACTAGTTGTTTATCCTTTCTGAGTCTCAATTCATTGACCCGTCCTGCAAATATTATTGAGCATCTATTCTGTGGCACCTTGTCGGGGGAGACAGATAATGGGTAACATCCTTCATAAGCAATTACATTGTGTTAGAGAGGTGACTCATCCCGTGGAATAAAAGGTGTTTTCTTAAGGTGGACTGGAAGCGGAGGTGGGGGCTCCAGTGGGCAGAGTGGATGGGGCTGGCCTCATTGAGAGGGTGACAGTTGAGTAAAGACTTGAAGGAGGTGACATGCAGATCTGCACGCTCCAGGTAAGGGACACAGCTAGAGCACAGGTCCCAAGGTGGGAGCGCACCCGGCATGGGGGAGGCAGAGAAGGGAGGCTAGGCTGGCTGAGGCATCCA